TTGATAGAAGTAAGTTCATTTTTTTGTTGTTGTTGTTTAGTCTTAATTTTCTCTTTGGATTTTTGGTTTCTGCTCATATGTAAGTGTATACATTGTAAAGAGTTAGTGCAATGATCAGATGGTGCAATTCAGAATTCAGAATACTAGAGCCTAAATAAAAATATTTCTAGATGAAGCCACTGTCCAGTGACTTGGTTAGAAAGATGAATAATAGTGAGGATATCTGTGTTTTGCAATACAATTAACTGTGTTTAATATTATAGAATATATGTGTGTATATACACATTTCTTAACAATAAAGATCTTATTTCTGTTCCCAGATTATTATCACTTTAGGGAATCTTGAAAAAGGGAAGAGAAGCCTTTCCGTGTTAAAACTGGGAAAAGTAATTATGCAGACTAGAAGAATATGTCAGGAATTTCCTATATAGAGATCAGCATTATTTTTCTTTGATGGAATTCCAATATGCTTTTTATAAATGAGAGTGGATGAAACTCAGATGTGACAGTGAAGAAAAATAATACTAAACATTTAATACAGAAACATATGAAAATTAACAGATTTCAGCCCTTTGTGTAGGTTCAGTTTCTATTTTTTCTGAGTAGCAGAAAGCAGAACAAGACAATCTCTGAGCAGTGGTATCACAACCTCTCTTGGGTCAGTGGATCAATCCAGTGGTGTGAACAGCTGTGTATGAAAGTATAACTAGGCCACGATTTCCAAGTGTAGATGAAACTGGTAGTTTTCCCACCCTTGCCCCAAGTACAATCCAAGTATTTCAGCAGCCTGCCAAATCTCCATGTACTATAGAGCTCTGGAATGCACCCTGCTTCTCACATCCTATGCTAACAGGGCTTTAACTGGTGTAATTTAGAGCAGGGAAGATGTGATGATGCTTCCACACATGATGAATGTTGTGCATGACAAGTTGACTTCTTAAAAATTTATCTTTTTGTAGTCTGCTTTCTTGATGCTAATTCATTTGGGGGAAAATTGGTATTCTTTTTTCCTTATCCTGTTTTCCAAAGAATTCTAGCCTTAAGTGATCGAATAGTCCATTTGCCTTTTGTTTTCCCCTTCAGGTCATTTTTGAGTCCATTGATAAATCAGGAGCTGGAGAGCCCCTCTGTGTGTCTGAGTTGAGGGGGAAATCAATGGATTTTTTTCCCTTTCTTTGCTCTCTGCCTGGTTGGCTGCCATTGAGCAGCGTGGGACAGACTGCCCGGGCTGTCCTCAGGGTGCCCAGCCAGCAAACTGGACAAACATGGACCAGGAGATGTGCCAGGGGTGATCCTACATGTGTGAGGGATCTAAGGGTGTTGTGCTGGAATAGGGAATACAGAAGGACATGCAGGGCAGGGATCATTGAATCACTCCGATTATAACTTGAGTGGTCATTTGGTCCAGTCTCTTGCTCAAACCTGGGTCAGCATTAAATTCAGACAAGGTTGTTTAGGGCATTATCTGTCTGAGTCTTAAAATCCTGGGAGGTGGGAGAGTCTACAACTATTTTGTGCAAAGTGTTCCAATACTTAATTGTCTTCTTAAAAGAATTCTTCCCTATATCCAGTTAGAAACAGCTGTTTCAGTTTATGAATTTATGTCTCATTCTTCTTCCAGGCAGCCTCAGTAAAGAGTCTGACTCCATCTTTGCAATAAATTCCCCCCTAAGCCCTCTTTCTCCAGGATGAACCCTCAGGTTCTCCTCTTACAGGTCGTATGCTCCAACTCCATAACCACCTTGCTGACTTTTCCTTGGACTCAAGTTTTTTCAAGTTTTTCTTGTACCAGGTGACCCAAAATGGCAGTATTCTGGATGTGGGCTGGGTGAGGAGGAAGAATTGCTTCCCTTGATGTTTTGGTTCCCATTGATCCACTGTTTTGCTGTAGACACAGCCCACTGTGCTGCTCATGTTCATCACTGCCAGGGTGCTCTGCTGGATCCTGGGCAGCCTGCTGGCCTCCAGCTCTTCCTGCTTCCCATCAGTGCTGCTGCCCTAGGAGGCAGGCAGTCCCCAGCTGGTGTTGTTCCAGGGAGTGAGTCCATCCCAAGTGCTTTGCACTCATCCTTCAGGAATTTCCTGAGGTTCCTTTCCCTCTGCACCTCAGTGTGGTGCCATCTGTGGTGAGGATGGTCTGTGGCTCACCCCTGAGGTCACTGAGACAGCTGTTAAAGAGGCCAAGTCCCAGGACAGATTCCTGAGGGACTCCATGGCCTCCAGGTACTTTTCTGGACTTGAGAATACTGTGTTGAGGGACTTCAGGAGAAGAAAGTTACTGGGATATTGCAGAGGCTGATGAAGAGGACAAAGGACAAGAATCTGAAGGAACCAGGCATCTCAGAATGGTCTGTTGGTTAATGGATGAATTTCTGAAGAGTTAAATGGACAAGACAAACTGTCTAGTGGTTGAATTTATTTAGAATAAAAGTCTTTAAAAGCAGAAAAACCTTTATTGTGTAAAAACCAAGATGGTGACAGTTCTTTATTAGGAAAGGGGGGGGGGGGGTGTTTTCAGGGAAGTTGGGTAGCTGTAGTTACACCACTGAGAATTTTACCAATAACTCACTCATACCCTTACCTAGAATACTTGGCAGAATTTTCCATCTCAGACCTCATTTCTGGATACTAGTTAATTAAATTTCTCTTCTTTTTGCATTTTATCCTTCAGATTAGGGTTTTTTGATTGATGGCTTTGCTTACACATGTTTGCATAATAAAATGGTGCATGCTCAAGTAGACCTTGATAGTGCCAGTCTGACTCGGAGGAGTCTCTCCTGCCCATAGGAATCGTCCTCCTGACTTCAAGGACTTCATTTGCCGGGGTGGCACTTGCAGCCTTGGGATTTAATGTGTGTGTCTGCTTTCCATTACACGTTCAGCTCTCAGCAGCCTGAGCGGGGTTCCAGCTCTATTACACACCACAAATTGGGCACCAAGAAAGGTTTAATTTAGTTTTTTCCACGATAAGGCGAAAATCAGTTAAAAGGCATATATATGTACATTGTGCTGCAGTCCTTAGGGTAACGTGTGCGATACGGAGCCGGCGATGGCTTAACTCGGTTGAAGAGGTAACAACTTCAAAGAATCATTAAAAAAACGAACACCGGCAAGAGCTGGCGAGGAGAATTGTGCCATGGGAGGCGCGGCCGCGGAGCCGGGGCACAGCAGCACTGAGCTGGGCTCGGCAGGAGCCGCGGGAAAGGGGCGGTCGGTGAATGAAGCCCTGCGGAAGGGGCCGGTCCGGGTGACTGGGCGCGGGAAGGGGCCGGTCCGGTGATGGAGCCGCGGGAAGGGGCCGGTCCGGTGATGGAGCCGCGGGAAGGGGCCACTCCTGGTGATGTGCTACTGGAAGGGGCCGCTCCCGGCGGGACGGGAGCCAAGGAAAGGGGCTGATCCCAGTGATGGAGACGCAGGAAGGGACCGCTCCCGGTGGTGGAGCGGGCACTGACAGGAGCCGGCGGTGTTGAGCGCTGCCAGCTCGGCTCCCATCACACACGGGGATGGAACTGAGCACCCAGCCAGGGAACAAACACACCGCTCCCATCACACACGGGGTGATGGGAACACACTGCTCCCATTACACACAGGGTGATGTGAACTCACTGCTCCTGTCACACACGGGGATGGAACTGAGCACCCAGCCGGGGAACAAACCGCTCCTGTCACACACGGGGTGATGGGAACACACACACAGGGTGATGTGAACACACCGCTCCTGTCACACACGGGGTGATGGGAACACACCACTCCTGTCACACACGGGGTGATGGGAACACACCACTCCTGTCACACACGGGGTGATGGGAACACCCCGGCGCTCACTTTCTCCACCTCATTTTTATACGTGTGATGGTTCCTTGCCCTGGAGTTTGGCCAGGCAGAGGTGGGAACGCCTCACCAAACAAACAAGCCTCCCATGTTTGTGCTGGCTCGGAGGCCCCTCCACCACCAAGGGTTCCTCCTGCAGTTCACACTTTCCAAAATAGTCTCAAACAAAGCTCCTGTGGTGGTTTGCATACCCGTTATGTGTCCCAGCCAAAGCGCTCTGGGAAGTTTCGTGCTCATTCGGTGGAAAACTGACCCGGTATAATCAGCTTATTTATTCCTTTATGGTGGGTCATCTCTAATGATCCGCACAAAATGCAACTACTGATGTTTTCCTGTATGAAATATATATATATATCTATGTGCACACAGGGAGTTTGCTATACAGAAAACTGTCCTGCTGGGACAACTCACATGTATGCCTTGGTAGGACTGTAGCTTAGATTGGTGTGTATGTTCGTGTATCTACGGTTTTATATCTAATACTTAGTAATTATTTTGATGAATTTAGGGATCCTTTATCATTCTTTCAGTAGCTTAGGTGTTTTTAAATGTATCAATACATTAGGCTGCAGACTGTTTGCTTGTCTTATAAACTCAGCATGAAGTATCAAATGTCCAAGTAGCTATGAATATATGTTTGGGGGACAACTGGTGTTTCTAAATAACTTTTTTATATGACTTTACTTCTTCATATTCAATTAATAGGGATTTTTTCCCTAAAGAATTTCTGTTGTCAGTACTATGCCAATAGTGGAGGCTAAAGGATGGAACACTGTGCTTTGGGCTGCAGCCTCACCTCATGGACACTGAAATTCATTTGCAGTAATGCTTCTGAAAACAAATTGCTTTTTCTTGTGTAGAACAACTGAGAATTCAAATTGTCTCATATTCTGTTATGCTTTCTTGTAATATATTAGGATAAACTTCAGCAAAGTTCTCAAATGCTGTCAAGTGTTAAAGAAATTCTCTGATTTCTCTTTCAAACTTTTAAAGTACAGTCACGTCCTTTTCAAGGGATCATGAATGTGTCACCAAAGCCACGTAAATACACAGTCATGGATTTTTCTGTTCAAGAAAATGAAGTTATGACTTAAAACCCTTTAGAACTTTGGGGTTTCATTTGTGGGGGGTTAAGCTAATTCTGTTTTGTTTTGTTTTCTTTGCTTTAGCTAAAAAACTAGGAATTACTGATGTGCCAGCTGAGGTCGTTACTTTTATTTCCCATGCAACACAAAACAGATTGAGGACAGTGATAGAAAAAGTGACAGTGATAACCCAGCACCGGATGGAATCATACAAAGTAAGTGTACAAACAAAGGTGTTATATTTTACAGAGAGGTGTGATGCTGGTTTTTCTTAGCACATGGAGATATTTTGGTTCATTCTGGGTGCAAAGCTTGTCTTAGTTGCAGGTTTGACCACCTCAGCAAACAGAAAGAGGTGGGATGGAAGATCTGTTGTCAGCTCCGTCCTCCTACTCTGCAACAGAACTTGTGTGTGAATTGTTTTGTCTTTCTCTGCTGAAGTGTCTGACAGGGAGCATCTGCTGAGCTATTTCTGCTCATGGGCTGTTGGTTCTTGACAACCCCTTTTTTGACCAAGGTATCTGTTAATTGGATCAAAATTGCTTTGGTATTTCAGAATCTGTAGTAACTTTATGTGTCCTTGGCTGTGAGAAATATTAATATTTTGCAAAAGCTACCAACGTGTCTTAAACAAGCAACTAAAGAATTTACCTCTCAATTCTTTGCTGTAATTAAACATGATTTTCTCTTTAAAAAGAGCATTTAAAGGTAAAATGCTACTCTGATTCTTTTGTTAGTGGTTGTGTTCCTGAGGAAACTGAAACAACTTTGACATGTTAAACCGGGGGGAAATTTAAATAAGAATCTGCAAACCAGGTTGAAATTCAAATTAATCAAACATCCTTATTGATATATTTGAAATACCTTTTTCTATAGAAGTAAGATGCTAATAGCTGTTAAACTGGTGTAAAAGCAAGATGGCAATAACTGGTTGTGTGTTGTCTAAACTGTGTTTAGATTTCTTTAGCATATGTATACATTGAGTAGCTCTGGATTAGTTTTTTTCTTGGTTTGCTGTGTACTGTTTTGTTTTCCTGGAGTGGAATTCTGATCAAACATCTTTACCCACCTGTTTCCCAAACCTGAGTCACAGTCAGACTAATTCCATGTGATATTTGCAGAAATAATCACCTTTGGCATCTCTGACTACAGTCAACATTACTGTGATAGAAAATGGATTACAAAAATAAAGACCACTATTCCTGATTATTACCTACACTTATATCTTTCATTGCAGTTGATGGATATATTCTACTGTATTGGACTAAAAGGAAAATCTCCTTGTTTCTTTCCAGTATTCTTTGTCAGCTTCAGCAGAGTTAAATCCCTCCTTTCTTCTCTCTGGGACGTTTTCTGAGGAGAAGACAATTCACTTAGTCCATCTTAAGCCAAAGATGCATTTAAAATAATATCTTAACACATTCTTAGGAAAAAATGAGCGTTGTCTCTGATTAAACTGTAGCATTGTCATTGCATTTTATATTTTTCTTGGTTAATGGTCTTCTTTGATTTTATAGCATTGCACTCAAAAAGGGAAACATTAAGTAGATAAATGGGATGGAAGTAATGTGGATCACTTATTTTTCTGACTGACATTCTAAGTGTTCCCACGTGGCTCGTGTCACAAACTCTTGTGGTTGTTGTGTACTAGGAAAGCTTACATGCTCTTAGTTGCAATAAGCTTCAGTTTTAATTGTCATTAGAGGCTTATTTTCAAGTGAATTTTTAACTTTAATGCTTTTATAATGCTGCATCTTGATAAGGTCTGTTACTAGTTCAAGATGAGTACAGATACAGGAATTTTAGGTTATAAGCCTGGTTATAAACTGTATCTGGGATTATTCAGTAATAAACTTAAGCATTTTAGAGGTTTTTCATCAGTGAGTCTGTTGGTTTGGTTTTTTTTTTTAAACTGTTTGATGTCTCTGGTGCCGATAAATCAATCTTGTGTTTTATTGATTTGCTTAGATATTAATTAACTAATCAGATTCTGGCTGCATAGGCTGGCATAACCATAGGCTGGCTTCGTTCTCTGAGCTTAAAAAATAGAAACATTCTTTTTATGGTTCATACAACGGAAAGATTTTAATGTAGAACACCTTCAGTCCTGAAATGCATAGTGTTGATAAAAAAGCCTGTTTTTCTGGAGCACTGTCCCTGTTTTGCAGGATGATGAGTGGTACGAACAAGCTACAGATGTCCGAGCACAGTTAAAGTTCTTTGAACAGCTGGAGCGTTTAGAAAAGCAAAGGAAAGATGAACAAGAGAGGGAAATCTTGTTAAAGGCTGCCAAGGTATCAGTTCTACTCTGTTTTTCTTAACTACTTAACCATTCATAGTCTTTAAACAATTATTTAATTTTGTGGGATCTGTTTCATAAACACATTTTGTGTCTTACAACAAAAATGCTGTTGACCCCTCACACCTTTAACTCCTTCAGTCAAGCTCTGATCTGGGATGACTCCAGACCTACCTGACTGGAATTCTTCTGTGTTTTGAGGATACAGCTCTGGATTTGATGAGTTCTTGGGAATACAGGAGACAATGGCTAAAATTTTCAAAGTAACTCTGGGAAATAATTTTTCAATTGCCTTTGAAATTTAAAAGATGCCAGGGTTTCTGTGCCCCTTGAAAATCATACCTCACACTTCTGGTATTTCAACACAATTCAGTAAATTCTTGGGGAATTTTTTTTGAGGCTTTTTACTTCTTAAGTTTCTAGACTTTGTTTTGAACCAGTTTTTTTCATTTGTTTATCCTAATTTGTGTTCCAGTCACCTCTCTGTAACTGGATTATATGATTGATTCGTGCCTGTCTTCAATGAACTATCAGTTCTTCTGGACTTTGCTCCTTTGTAACTTCAGTTCCAGAAACTCAATTTTTATACATGCAATAGAACAAACTCAGATAATATTGTTTCAAGAGCACATAGGTATAAATAAATCTCCTGCTTATAACTGTAAATTTAATTATATATATATATATCACATCAAACTGCAAATAAGTTTATCCCTTAGTTGTCCCATTTCTAATTGTATTTGAATTTTCATTGACTTATTTAATTTATATGCTGAAAAGATTATACAGAACAACTCAATGTTCAGTTGTAACACAGCCTCCTGATTTTGTGCCAATAATGTTCACGAATTGAGAGATTTTATTTTTTTTTAAACCTAACCTTGCTTGTTTCAGAAATCTGTTTCTCAATTAGGGTACTTTAATCTGTCCTCTTTGCACTCGTAATTTGTAATTGCTCACATTGTAAATATTCCACAAATTTTCCCATAACATTAGATACTCTTCAAATGTTTTGATGAAAACAGATTTGCTGTTTTCATTCTTAATTCTTATTTGTTAGAAATAAAGAAATGCCTATTTATTTTTTATCTTGTTTACTCCATTCAGTGAATACATCTTGATGAATCATGTTTTCTGTGTATCCTGCTGCTTGTTGTTTGTTTTGGTTGCTTTTTTAATGGACATTGAGAAAAATGCAGTAGCTTATAGTCCTTAGTTCAAAAATGTTTCCCTGACTGCACAAAGCAGGTTGATCTGAGATTGGGTTAGATGACCTCCCATTGTTCCTTCCAACTTGAATTCCTTCATGAATTGATATTCTTTAGTTTGCGTTGTTTATTTTAGTTGTTGTTTTAGTCTTGAATAATATAAACTCCTGTGAAGTCAAAATTTAGGAAATAAATACATGGTCATCAAGTTTGATTCCTACAGATTACAGGACGAGCAAATAGAAGAATTCTGCAACAAACAAATGTAAAAGAGTCCCTTGATTGATTTGAAAAAATTGCCTTAATGAAAGTAATGAATGCACAAATCAACTTCCTAACCAGGGAGTCATCGGAGATGGCTTGGCATAAACACATGGTATCCTAGAAAAATACCTGGAGGTGTTGAAAAGCCAAACCCAAACCACAGAGTAGCCACGGCAGAGCAGTGCTGATTTATCAGTATTAATGTTTAGAGAGAGAAGTTGAAGATGTTGTGAACCTCTGGGGAGGTGCTTGTGAGATGTGGTGATTTGAGGGTAAATGCCAGTCTGGAACTGAACTCTGGGCAGTGTTCAGCTGGTGCTCCCCATTCTATCCCAATGGATTGACAACCTTTTACAAGACTTATGTGGGACATAGTTTGGCAAAAATATGGTGAGATTACATTTTTTTATTCTAAAGAACAGATTTTTCATTATTTCATTATTTCCTTAGGATCTGTGGTGCTGCTGAAATGCCAAAGTGATATCTGTTGAGGTCTTTGTTCTGAATTCCTACACACTAATTCCTTCCCATGGATTTGGGGATTTTTAGGGTCCTTTATGAACTTGCCTAAGGATATCTCAGTCCTTGTGGAGAGGATGCAGTAATTGTAGTGGCACAGTTAAAATCTGCCCTGATAAACAGTGATTGTGTTGCAAAGGGGGTGATGGTTACACTGACTCTGCAGACTGAAATATCCACATGCAAATGTGTTGTTTCCCCAACCACAGCACCTTTGTCTTCTTGACAGTGTTGTCTTTATAAAGGACAGAAAAATTTGGGTTTTAAAATGAAATTGCTGTTTGGGTTTTGTTTTTGTTTTTGTTTTTTTTTTTTTGCTGCAGGTACTTAAATCTAAAAATCATACTTATTTTTATTTTTAACTGCAGCTTCTTAGTGGGCCTTTTAGACAAACTGAGTGATCTTTTATCTTGTGTTTTGACATATTATTTTGCAACATGTTTAATGAAAGTTTCAAAACTTCCTGCCAGTGGTACCTCATCTACTGTCTCGTGTGGAAGAACATAAACAGGTCGAATGTGCACAGTGAAAATTCTTTTTTAATTATTTACAGTTTGGAGCCTTGTTAACAGCCAAAGTCCAGGTTTTGACAAAGAGTAAGATAGTGAAAGAAATGTTTCAGGCACTGGAATGGATGGTATTAAATAATCAACTTAATCACAGAATAATCAATGGAGAAGATAATGAAAAATGAAGGAATAGATTGAAATCAAAGGGGAGGCAGCATGAGTCTTTGGGCAGCCTTGAAGCCAATTAGGTAATTTTGCATTAGAGTTCAGTAAGGGGTAAAAAAAATGCAAATGATGGTCAAGGGAAGTGTCAGGTTTGCAGGTTTTTGTTGTTCTGTGTGATGGGTTGGTTTCATTAGGAGGAGAAGGAGAATATTTGACAGGAATGTTGTGGTTGATCTGCAACCACAATTTCAGTTGTTACAGTAGGATGTGTTTGCAGGATTTGTAAGCACCCAGATGGGGTTGGGTTTGCTTCAGAAACTGTTTTTGGGAGAATGAGAGAACAAATCAGATGGGCAGAAAGAAGAAAAAAAAAAGCTTCAAAAAATACAATTTTTGACATTGTGAGAAAAGTCACTGTCTAAGTTAAAATTAGTTGTGAAGCTCACAAGTAACAAAATAGCAGTATTATTTAGATTGTTAAATGAGAGAATATTAACAGAATCTTATGTCCCATGCCTGGGAAATACTTGAGAAATAGAAACTTCGTATCACAAGCTTAGAAGCACAACAACTGATGTTCTCATTCCAGTGAGAGATTGTGGGGGAAGACAAACTTGACAGGAAAGGCCAAAATCATACTATGCTACAGTAGCAATGCAACAGATAATTTCTTTTAAATGAAAAACCTAAAAATTGAAAGCACAACTGTGCTGGTTTAGGAGCTGGAATGATCTCTTGCACCTCGGGGGTCCTACATCGTGTCCCCATACCAGCCTAGAAATGCCCAAAACATTTCTCTAATATATTCCCAGTAATTCTTTCTATCATAGAAGTGTTTAAAGCCATCTTGGGCCCCAGGCTGTGAGATGCAGTCACCTCCTGCTGCTGGAGCAGCTCCTGTTTCCCACCCCAGGCCCTCGGGGGTGTCCCGTGCAGCAGCTCTGCAGGGAGACCCTGAGCTGTCAGGACTTTTGGGTTCCTTCCTGCCACGTGCCCAAGGCACGAGGAGGGGCCATCTTATACATGAGCACATGGAGAGCACAGTCTCTTTGAAGGAAATATTTGGGAGAGTCACCTCCTGGCCCTTGTTTGTTTGCCCAGTCAGGCCCCACTGGCTGTTGTTGCCAGGAGTGTGCAGGGCCAGACATCTCCTGCTCTGCTCTGAGGTGACTGCTACAGGAAAGAGCAGGAAGAGCTGCAGAAAGGTCAAAAGCCAGGCTAAAATCACTTGAGGAATTTCCATTTGACATGGTGTGTGTTGTGTGGACTTTCTAAAAAAAACCCAAACCCAGCAAAGCACAGGTCTTACATAGTAAATCTGTGTTCTTGCTGCCTTCAGAGCTGATTCCAAAACCTGGGAAATGCAGGTGGTGTCTGTCAGATTGAAGGAAGTTCTGGTTCTGGTCTAGTAATGGAAATATTTCTGGCAGCAGGAGGAGTAGGAAGTTGTAGCTGATTTGTTGTTGTTTGTTTGATTTTATTTCTGATTTATTTTTTTTAGAGTGGTGCTTTATGCAGTGAAGATACACAGCTTGGGGTTGTCTTGGTTTTCAGAACATGAATGAATCATACTTGTGTGTTATAATCTATAATAAAGTGGATCATGTTAAAATTACTGTGTTAATTCATCAGCTCAAACTGGCTAAATGCATGTTTATTTTATTATAAAATTAACTTTGAAATTTAATTTCCAATATATACAGTCTATTAGTCTGCTATTTTGAGTGTTCTGTGTTAGTAGCACAAGCCTGTCAAGTTTTTGGATCTTAAATATAACAAGATACCTTATTCACAAGAATAAGATCTGTTCTGTAAAAAGAAAATTTACATAAGTAAATGGAAAGTCATGTTTAGAGTTGTTTGCAAAGTTAATTAGCATTTATGGATGATAGTGATTTTTATAGTACTATGGGCTGAAGGGCCTTTTTATTGGAGAGCTCCCTGAAATTTGGCGATGCAGATTCCCTTACACACGTCCTGTGATGACTTGAAGGGGCTGCTCTGAGTCAGAGCTGAGTTCAGCCAATTTAATCCTTCCCCTCTCTTCTGAGAGCAGCCTCCTGTGAGATGGACTCAGAACTCCCTTCTGATGAGAGGAGAGCAAAGATAATCTCAATGTGCTGGGATAATTTTCTGAGTTTTTAAGAACTTGTCGCTGCAATTTTAATGATTTCAATATAAATCATTTCCCAGACCTGAGCTCTTGCATTCCACCTGAGCGTGGCCGTAACGTCGAGCAGCGTTTCACCCTCAGCTATGATGCTTTTAACTTCCACTTTTTATTAACAAAGCTAATGTGAAAGCAAAGTGTTTCATGTTGCCGATTTAATTTCTTTAATTAGAAGTGAAAGTTATAAGCTGGTACAGCCGTGGGTGAAGTTCTAATGTCATCAATGGGGAAAAAATAGGTTTCAAATTGAAAGTGTTGGCACAGCGGTGGCTCTCAACAGCACAGCACCTGCAGTTGTGACTCTTGACTTTATTTAATGAAAAAAGATGAAGTTGAAGCGTTAAAGGCTCCACTGTATGTGTTGGGAAGGGGCAGTAGAGCTGCAAGTGCCTTTACTGGGATCAGGAGAGACACAGTGAGCCATTTCCTACCACAGGTGGAACAAGCTGAGAATTCAGAATTCTTACAGATCTAACAGAAAACTTTTTTGTGGTGGTGGGACAAAAATTTAACAACAGTGCAACTTTGGTATTACTAATCACAACAAAATACTGAATAATTTTGGCAATTACATACGTCAAAGTACTATTACTCTGTCCATCTGCATACATAGAGTATCCTCCAATTTTAAAAGTAATTGGTGCTTGAATTTAAGTATTACATGGGCTTATTATTTTAAAAATACTGTTGCTTTCTAATTTAAGGCAATTCTGTGAAATCCAAAATCCCCTTAAAACTAAACTGTTAGATGTGTAATTGTCTGTTTGTGTGGCCTCCTTCCTTAACACAAGCAAGGGGAAAAGCTGAGGTTTGGAACATTAGGGAGTTTGGTAACATGTAAACGAACCCCCTTATTTCTGTTGTGCTTTGAATACACACATTAAAATATGCTGCTTTTCATACTTTGAAAGTCCAATATTTCCATAGACCTAATGTGATCTATGCAGGTTTCAGATAAATAGGATAGCAAGTTCTTTAACACAAAGCACTTTCATTCTTCACAATTAAAATATCAGGCTGTCTGGTCTAATAAAGTTAGCTTGTGTTTGGGAGAAATGTTAACAAACCTGGTTTGGTGAATGAATTCTCAGTAGGAGACAGCATATAATGTATTTAAAAAGTATGTAATCTGGTTAGGATCAGTCCTAGGTTTCTTCAAAATTACTATGGGAAGCCAGCTTGCTTCTAAAAGTGTTTATTCATCAACAGGAAAATACATTACATAAATACAGCTTGCTTTATTTAGAGATCCAGGCATTATGAACAGGGAAGGGAAGGCAAAGGAGTTGTGATAAACTCCTTGAAAGTATTTGATTTGGTGGGTTCTGTGATTAGTGGGTGTTTCCAAAGCTTTAGAGGAAGGAGACATTGGTGTATTAAAAGATTTTGGAAAAGCATGTTTCACAGAACAGGTGAGATGCTGCATATTAATATTTGGATGTTAGAGGGGAAAGGAGAAAGGAAGAGAAACCTTTTCTTCTTTGAAGAAAAAGTTAAGCTTCAATTAAAAAAAAGCTAGGAATGATTAGTCAGTAGCTTGACAGAAGTAAGTGTAAAATACTGAAATAATTGCTTAGTAAAAATGGTGCCATACAGACAAGCACTGCAAGAGCTGAGCAGAGCAGAATTGTTCAGACTCTTCAGAGGAAGGGAAAGATGTTCACGTGTGGAATGGAGTGTAAAGGGAATCCAGGGACATTTTTAAAGCTTATCTGGGCACCTCTGTTAAGCCTGACATTTTCATTTGCTTTAATCTGTGTTGCATCAGCATTGAAGAAGCATTTTATAATTTACATTAGATGGTAAAGTGAAGAATTAATGAAATAGTTGATGTTTATACTTGCCCTGTAACACATTTTAGCCTCCATATGCTGATTTTATTTCTGAAGGTTGCTGACATGGTAGGCAGCAGGAACGTATTCTAGTTTTAAAAATCTGGTTTTTTAAAAACTATTAAAATTTATCTGAACACAAAAAGAAACAGAAAATAATTACAGGTAAATTCTTCAGGTCTTTTAGTAGTAATGACACATGCAATGTAAAGTTGGAATTCTGCTTGTCTGAAACGAGAGCTAGCCTGAGCTCTTTGGAAAGGCTGTTTGGTGTGGATTCAAGGAATAACTAGAAAATCATTGCATTATTCTAAATGTAAATGTAATTCTACCTTCATCTTCAGTCTGGATTTATATATGTAACTTCACCTGGTATTTTAGATCTTTGTTTTTGAAATAAAATCCTGTATATAGTATCATTCAGGAGCTAAGTATCTGGTCTCACCTCTGCAGTAATTTTGATTATTTATTTACTGTGACCAGGCTGGAGGTTTACACAGGGCAGATCATCTGCTTTTGCTTGGTGAGATTATCCTGAACTCCAGATCTAATTTTGTTCGGTGGGTTTCTGGGGAGGGGAGGAAACCCCAACTCTTAAATGTGTTACTTTTTTACTCTGTAGCACTTTCAGAGTTTTTCCTTCCCTTACAGAGTCTAGGAAACTGCAGTGTTACTTTGCATCTATTGCTTTAATTTTTCTTACAATGTCCCCAAACACAATGCAGATCTGGTGTGTTTTCCAGGGTTCTATCACTTCCTTGTAGAAAGTTGGTAACAATATTAGAGGTCTCAGCTGGATTCTCCCAGGACACTCTGCTTTCTCCTTAAGCTGATGTGCTTTTAACTTGTGCTTTGCATTTGGCAAATGTTTCAGCTTCGTACAGTGGTATAACAACACTTTGTGTTTCTGTACTGCTTTCACTCTGAGACTCAAGAAGGCAATAGAAGTTCATTATACATTTATAAATTTATCATCAAAACCCATGAAAGGGCTAAATGTGCTTTTCCATACATCATACTGGAGAAACTGAGGCTCACAGTGATTGAGCTGTCACTGCAAAACCACAGAGCAAGGACTGGTTCAGCTCAGTTCATAAATACTTACCTGAGCCCGTCTCCTAGAGAAGCAACTCACTGAATGGGGTGATGTTCCTTTGGTTTTTAACCTCATAGGTTTAAATCTAATCAAGTTTTTAGTAATTGCTTTGCTGAATAGAGCCCTAGCTCTCTGGCAGATCCACATATTTCATGACATACCTTTTTGTCCTTTGAACATTAACTAGGTCAGATTATCTACATTTTTGTTTGGCCACAGCATTAGAAGGAATATCAGTCTGTGTTAAGGAGGAGTTTCTTTCTTGGTTGGCACAACTACAACACGAGAGTCTGACTTGGTCATTGACCATCTCAGGTTTTAATTTGTCCTTCACTGCAGACACTCTTCTGTCAAACAGCCTGTTGTGGCAACAGGCACAAAAGGTGTTGGTGTTGGAAGGTGTTGGTTGGTGTAGGTGGTGTTGGAAGTTGGAGCTGATGTGCACAGTGGGAGAGTGTTAAGCACATCATCTAAAAATCTCATTATTGTTTAATTTGACCATGCTTTATCATCACTGTGTTTTATATGTGTGCTACATGAGCTGAGAAAAAACAATCCCAGTTAAAAAAAACAAACCAAAACAACACAAACCAACAAAAACTAACAGGAGAAAGGATAGAGAATTCGGTGCCATTGTTGCCCTGCTGCCAAATCATAGCCAGGGCACTCTCCAGGTCTATCAAGAATACTATGTGACTCTTTTAAGGGTCTCTCTTTGGTTTTCTTAAAGGATTTTTAAATTCTGAACAGAATATGGTAAGAGAAATTCAAACACCAGGAAAAAAATCTGAGCATATGTGAGTTTGCAGACTAACGTTCTTCCAGGTTTCATGTCTGTCTGCAGCACAGCAATAATCAGAGAGAGACAGAGAGGAAAGGGCAGAGGTATTCTTATTCCTTTAGGAGTTGTGTTCATGGTATCACTTTTAATCTTGAAGAAATACTGAGATAAAACTACTGCATCTCTCAGGTGTCAGGAACAACAGTTTTCTGTGGATGTCACAAGTTCTGTTGCAGCTTCTTGCAACTTTTTATGCAGCCTTTGCTGAATGCTGACCTATCAGGCAATTATGAAAGTATAATGCCTGTATTATCTGCCTCTTGAGTTCTGAATTCCATCATTTTGAATGCTCATTGAGCACAAGTAAGAATTGAAAAGTTTTAATATCTGGTTGTAAAATAGTCTGTATCTAAAGAAATGCACTGCTATGGGTTGTTTTTGCAATTAAACAATTATTTTTAATGGCTTTCTAGAGCTGTTGTTCCTGGTTTTGAAGGAAAATACAGAGGTTACCATTTAGCAATATTTGTCCAGTTTTAGAAATGACAACAGTAATATCAGTAGTGCATGAATGGGTTTAACATGTGTGTGTTCCTGTGCTGTACTCACAGTAAGCTCGTAGGGGTAGTAGCATCTTTATTAGGATTTACCTTTTGGGAGGGTGACTTTACAACTGTTTTCTCCATGTTCTCTAATTAAAAACTGAATTACAAACAGTAAGTTTTAACATAAGTGACTGTGAGGAGTTAAATAAAAAATTTCAGATAGTGGAAATGGTGTCACTTTTCACTCTTGGATGCTTGAATTCATTTGTATGAAATAATTGAAATCTGAATCTGTATGGAAACTTTAACATTGACAAAAAGATGGTTTTTTGGGGGGTTTGGGTTGATTTTTTTAAAAATTTAAATCTACAGTAGATCTTATTTACAACTGAACATTTAACAGTCTTTTGGGTGAGGTTTATGGGTTCGAAATTGCTTTTCTATCAATTTAAGTGCCCCGTGTTTGATACTTTGTGTCCTGTTCCTATTGCTTTGCTATTTTTTAACTTACTGCAACAGATGAGGGGTTCTTAAACCATCTGTTAACCTTTTTTCCCCATTTTTTTTAACCATGTAGAGTCGCTCAAGGCAAGAAGACCCAGAGCAAGCTAGACTGAAACAAAAAGCAAAGGAGGTAAGCAGAGCTAGAGATCATTACACTTGACATTTCAAGGCTCGAACATATTAATTTTTTATGCCTTGCTACTTGTATATCGTTAATAAAAATCTGACTAAAAACTTTTTAGGATGTATTTGTTGCTTTGCCTTTGATCTTAATGTTTGCAAACTAATACATTAATACATGTGAAGCCTAAGGAGATTTTATAAGAGAATATTTCCATACATTACATTTTCATTTCCATTTTAGGTAGCTGTAGCTTTTGTTGGGTTGTTGATGACAGCAGCTCTAGATTTTGGTGGAAAATATGTGGGTTTGTCTTTTTTTGTAAAATGTCACTTTCTTAGAAATGTGCTACTTAACAATTTTGTTCTTGTAATGTTCTTTCAAATAAGGTAATTGCCAGTCAGTTCCTCTTCCGTGTGATGCAGTGGAATATTTACTTATCTGTCTAAATTACAATAATCTAAAAATTATCAAATAACTTCAGATCAAGTTGTGACATGTTACTCTAAGAGTAACAATTTGTGAACTACTGAGTACCTTAATTTGCTTTAAATTGGAGTGACTGTCCTTTGCTTAAGGCATCTCATGCTTTAGGATTGGGTTGTAACTTAAATCAGTCAGAAAGTCTAAAATATCTATCAGTTGAAAGTAACTTCAGCAAACTAATGCTGGTTTTTTTAGCCAACTTCCTTGGATATATACATTAACAGGTAATAATTATACATTAGAAGCTAATATATATGGAAAAATGCAAGTTTTTTATTGACCTGTTCTTCCTGTTTTGTTTTCCCCTTGACAGTGTTTTATAGTCCCGTTAGCTATACAGATTTTATATATATAACAGTAAAAAAAATCCAGATTCATGGCTGAGTTTTATTTCTTTATTTCATTGTGATTGTGTAGTAAGATTTGCTGAAGTGAATTCTTGTAAACGTTACACCAGGCCATAGTGTTTCCAGAGCTGGATTTGTCAAGCAAGTATTGAAATGAAATAGAGTAATCAAGTTATTTGGCAGGAAAAGAGACAAGATTTTAATACTACTTGGGTTTTGTACGTAGCTGGTGTATGCAAAGGAAGAATCAGATAATTAATGGCAGGCAGAACTTGCTGTTGAGCTGAGAACCAAAGCTGCTGGAAGTGCAAGTGGGCTGGAATATTTAATTCCATGGCATTGCTGCCACAGAATTTGCTTTCATGGTAATTCTTTTTTGGCCGCCGGAAACTCGAGGAAGCAAAAGCGAAGAACGGGGTCAAACCCCCCATTTGCAGCGGGCCGAGGGAACTGGGGGTTCTCTTGCCGGCTGTGCTAAGGGGGTGCCCCCCGGCAGTGCTGGGGGAGCAGCTGCAGCGCTGCTGCCCTGCCCGGGAGTTGGGGCTTCCCGGAGGAGCCCATCGGCTCCCACCAGAGGGAGCGAGGCTGTGCTGGCAGGGAACAGCAGGGAATGCACTCGGAGCAGGGCTCTTGGGAAACAGGGAGCAAATGTTTTGGTGCTAACCTAATTAAAAACTCTTGGATCGCACCGGTGTGTGATTTTCAAGCAGTGCTGTTCCTGGCTGGGAACAATAAAATTTGCAGTTCCACCTTCCTGGGCAGGAGCAGAGGAGGGGCAGGGACTGAGCTCTGCTCTGGGGGGACCAGGGACAGCAGCCAGGGAATGGCTGGAGCTGTGTCAGGGCAGGCTCAGGGTGGATCTCAGCCAAAGGTTCTTCCCCCAGAGGCTGGTTGGGCACTGCCCAGGCTCCCCAGGGCAGTGGGCACAGCCCCAAGGCTGCCAGAGCTCCAGGAGGGTTTGGATGATCCTCTGGGGCACCGGGGGTGACTCCTGGGGATGGGCCTGTGCAGGGCCAGGGGTTGGACTGATGGTCCTTGTGTGTCCCTTCCAGCCCAGCACATTCTGGGATTCTGTGATTTGAGTCAATACAGGAGGAGTACTGACTTTTCCCTTTGAGTGCTGCACCCTGTTCTTTTGTACACCAGCCCTGCCTTCCTTCCCACCCTTCTAATAAAAGTGTATAATTTGCTGGCACTGTGCCTCTCTCTGAAGTTGAATTTCATTCTACATGTTTGAAACCATAAGAAATATAAGCATGTCTCTGTTTTTAGTAATCAGGTTTCTGAAGCTCTTTCTTCAACTGGTTTAGAGACTTTCACTTGAAATATTAAAATTTATTTAGTAAAAACATTTTCTTTTGCAAAGGGGAGTGGGGTGTGGTACTGGCAAGATTTTGTTTTAATATTGTTCATATTTTTTTCTGCACTAGATACTGGATTTATGCTGATGTCTCAGGATATTGGCACTTCCAAAATAAAATATAACCCATTTTATAGTATAAAAGGTTGATTAGGAAAACTGTCTTTGGCATCCCTTTGTCATTTGAAATTACAGGCTTTGAATCAACACCTACAAAAATGTGAAAATTTCAAAACTTCACTGCCAGCTGGGCTACTCTTAAATGTGCATATGACCCATAACTCAGAGAGAAATTGGGTTTCTTCCAGGTTTTGTATAAGCTGATGAATATAATACTGTCAGCTTTGATAATAAGCTGGATTTGAAGCTGTGTTTCCATGATTTCTGTGTCTTGGGTATTGCCTGAAGACGTTTGTTGCTCAGATATTCTTCTGGACAATAGTAAAGTGACTTTCAGGTAATGTTTTGAAAAGCACAAAGAGGGCATCCAAGAAACCTGCAGCACTTTTAGGCTGTGTTACTTGTTTAATGATATAATTGTCAGATAGTTTGTTTTTTCATCCCAGCAAAATGGCTATTTAGTATGTTCTGAAAGAGGATAATGTTTCAGACTTTCATCAGTTTAAACAGTGACACTACTGTCAAAAATCAGAGGGAGAAAGTGAAATACCAGAACAAGTAATTTAAAGTCTTTTAAGAAAGTCTTCTTAATCTTTTAGGAAAAAACTTCTCAAAACATTCAAAGAACTGTAGAAAACATTGTCTTTGAATGCAAAATAAAGGTACCTGTACAAGGATAATAGGATGAAGAGGAAAGAAAGAAGGCTAGGAAAGGGTATTTGTTGCAAAACATTCTCCTTTATGGATATTTTGGAGTTTTCATTCAGTAACACTCTGTTTTTCTTCCTAATTTAAAAAGAAAAAAAAATTAGTTCAATTTATTTCACAGGACATCTACCAGTTCCCTTCTTGTTTATTAGTGTCATGAAGACAATGTACAGTGGGATCTTTTGAACACATTTTAAAATTAATCTGTAAGGTGAGGATTGTTGGGGTTTTTTTTTTCTGTAACTCCATCTTGCTCATTTATTAGCCAGTCTTCAAACCACTCTGCATGTTATTTAAACCAAGTTGGCATAAATCAAGTTTAAACTGCATTTAAATACTTACCCAAGCAAACAGAAGGCCCAATACATATGGTCATATTGCAGGGACCAGATAACTGAGGTTTCATTCCTACCCCAGCACTGTTTTAGTTAAACCAGAGCAAACCCACTCTGATTCCAGCTTGAGTGACTTATTTTGCTTTAGTATTAACCTGTTTCAAATGGACTGGAGTGAAAGCAAGAGAATGTGCCTTTGGGGGGCTTTATGGCTCAAAACTCTCCCTTTACTTTCAGACTTTTAAATTGGTGCAGCCTTTTGTCAGTGGACAGCATATGATTGTTTTAATGGTAAACCTATTTAATAAACTATGGAAAAGTACTTTCCATTGAGACCATTTCAGGGAGAAGTGCTGCTCTTCAGCTGTTACTTGTTGCATCTCTTTGTAACAAATTCTGAGATGTTTGATTTGTACAATTTAATGTAATAAATAACATCATTTGTGAGCAGTGATTAAAGCTTTTAAAGTCAGGTTTTAGGAAATACACTGATTTATGTAGTCGGGAAGCGAGGCAAGTCACAAATGTAAGTTAAAGAAATTATGAGTTCTCTAATTTCCATTAAAAGGCTTCATTAAATAGAACATAAAACAGGCCATATGACTGATAGCGGGAATAGATCAAGATTAGGAAAAACTGAGTCAACACCTAGTAATTAATAATACAAATGGTTTCAAGGGAAGGCAGGGAGGGAAAGATCCTAAACATCCTTTCTGTCAGGGATATTTTTCCACATATTCAGGGTCTGTTGGCTAAAAATGTTTTAATTTAAAGTCAAGTAGCTGAGCTTGATCCTGAAAGATTAACTTGGTTAAAATCTTTGTGTCATCACCAACCGAGAATATTGCATAATAATAAAAACTTAAACCAGACACCATAAATGTCTGGGCATGTATCCAGGACCTAGATCAGCTGAGATAACACTCAGTTGGATCTGCTCTCTGAGGACTTCTTAACCATGCAAGGGAAATCTCAGACCTGTGGATGTACATCCTATGGAAGCCTTAGGATTTTGGGGAAGGGTGGAGACAACCCTTTGCATACCTTTGTCAGCAGGGGTAGCCCATCTTCCTGAGGCTGGACAAGGTCCTTTAACAGGGATGTGCCTTTGGGGGGTTGCTGTTGGGAGTGTTACCCTGGCCAGGAGCCTTGGGAGTGCTCAGCTCTTGCATCAGCTGAGCAGGGACAGGTTTTTTCCACCCTCCCAGAAGAAACTGCATCCAGCATTGTGGTAAGCACAGTGCTTGGGTGCTGCCATCCCCGTGGCTGCAGTGCCCTCTGGAACAACAGGCTAAGGTTTAGACTTTAAACTATATCCTTTTCTGAGTTATATGCAGAAAAATATGTGGACTGTTAGCAGATGGGTTCTATAAGAAGCTATAGGATCCTTCTCTTAAAAATAATGAAATATGTACATCATATGATGTATATCTTCTGTGGCTCTAATGTTGCCTTAGAGATTTTAAATTCCTCAGAAAAACATAACTTGTCATAGCAGAATTACTGAAACTCTGGTATCATTTACTTGGCGATTACAATATGAAAACAATTTTACTCTAAATAATTTCTTGTCACCACACTAATATTTATTTATCAACTCAGTAGAAGTGGCTTCTTTTAAAATATTTAAATGTTAGTTTACTGCAGTTATCC